GGCCTTCGGCGAGAGGCGCGGAAAATAAATCTTGCCGAGACACGCCGCCGTTTTTACGTTTTAATTTTGCTTCATGGAAACTTCACCGTTAAGAGAACAGCACGAGGTTTAAACAGGCGTTATTAAAGTCTTACCGAAACGTTAAAAATGTGTGTGGTTTAAAAAAAAATCCCTATTACGTGGCTTATCCCAAATAACCAAAAAATTACAAACGAACTTTCCTCGGAGCCACATCTGACAAATTCTTTAGACATTTGATTAACTGGGAAGACATCTTAAGAGGTTTTTTTTTTTCTTTTCTCTCTGAGCCTTGTGTTCCTTACGGTAATTCAAACACATCGATATTTGTTACGCAGAAGTCACACTACAGACAGAATAAGTTACTTTATTACAAGATATATAGAACATATTTTCTCTATTTGCAATCTTATTTCAGCAGTTCTGCAGTGCAAGTACCACCACATCACAGGGCAGAAAATACGCAAATCATGACATAGGATATGCAAATGAAATAAACTCAAATTATCAAAATTACAAAACAGAAGTTGAAGGTATCTACAGTACTTATAAATAGTGCAAATCAGGTATCTACAGCATAAGTATTTAGAGTATCAAAAACTTTTTGGAATAGCCGTTTAAAGAAGGTAGTCAGCAGGAAAGCATGATGATGATAGGGATTTTAAAACCAAATACAACACTTATTTTTTCAAGAAGAACTGTCGAGCTTCTTCCCAGGACTGGCGGGGGAATCTGTTGGACAGCTCAAGATAATCTTGAGGACTGAAAAATTTTTCTGTTGAAGACAGAACATAAAATTACCAAGTTATTCTCTCTTAAGATAAGATGGCAATAAAACAAGAATAACGAACACGCAGCCAATTCGAGATACTTCAAGTCATTTACTCCCCTCCCCCTACCAAAAACTTCTCAAACCATGGCGTAACACTTCTGTGGAGCTACTGACATTGAGGTTTGGCTTTAAAAATGGAGGCACAGGGCTCTGATGAGCAAAGACTTAGATTTTTAAGCTTTTGGATCAGGCTCTCTGCTTTACGCATCGGAGCATTATACATCTTTACACATGATTTTATGTTCTCGGACCCACCAAGGACCAACTCAGCCTCCTTCAAGTTCGGGCAGCCTCGATGGAGCGCTCTCTGCTTAGCAGCTTCTTTTTCTACAAAGGGCTGCGGAGGAGTTCTCCTCCCCGCTTCCCCCAAAGCTCACAGCATGATTACAAACACAGCTTTTACTCCTACGAGTACTGTTGGTGACGTGAACGGGACTACACATGCGTGCACGGGTTTGCAGGGTCCGACCCTTTGAGCAGCACGTTGCAGCGCAGCACCTAACAATGAAATTTGCGCTTTCAAGTTTTACTCCGAGCTGCGTTCTTGTTCCCATTTGTTTTTTGGAGACACCGTCCTTCACATTCAAGTGATATAATGGATAAAAATAATCCTGCTTATACTACTATTAAGCCAGCTTTTTTGCAACTGGGGAATGTTTAGAAATCACACTCACGTGTCACCACATAAGTCATCTTTGTTTAAAAGTTCATTTAGTTTGAATAGTGAAAATAAAAAGCAGTTTTCTACTTGGATTTTAGATGTTTCTCAAGCAGATACTCATGCAACACAATCCTGGAAAGTTTGTGCTGCAGACACTGCTTCAGACTAAGAGGTATAATGTGACAGTAAAAATCTCCATAGATTTATGTTAATTTTATATTTTATAATTTATTTTTAAACACAAAGCTTATGTTTTAGACCTAGAACTGCTCATCTTCTGCCAAACATTCAGCAAAATGGTGGTGGATTTCTGCTTGCTATTAGGGAGAAATGACTGTCCGAGCGACGTACTTTATGCAAAATACAAGAAACTCAAGACCAGATTCCTATCAACACACTTGAATTTCAGACGTGTTTAACAAGTAATAGCTGTCTTAGCTAAGAATCTTTCAAATGTTTAGCCTAAAGACATTAACTGCATTTTACACAGTATTTACAACAACTGAGCGGAAAAAAAAATTACAACTCTTTTGCAAGCTGACCAACTTTAAAGGATAATTACAGGACAGTATTTTACTAATTTTTGGCTCCCCGGGCATACTGGCATGGCTGTGTGGCTTCTGCAACCTAAAACTTTTGAAGGTAGCCTTTGTGACAGCTAATTAAATATGTGCACGTACAGTATCACATTTTAAGACATGATACCACATAGCATTTAATAAAGATTAACAGTCTGAATTCCTGATACGGTGAGCAGACTGGAAGACATGCATGTTTAAGTCAGAGTGTAAGCTAGAGAGCCTCTCCCCGAACTGTAAAATCATTTTGCAATTTACTGTATTTCTTTCATCATGATGCAGATTAAAAAAAAAAAAATTAAATCACAGTAAAATACAGTATCTACACATTTTGTTACCCAATTGGTACTCTGTTACATTTCATTGGAGACATACCCCTCTGCTGAGAGAACTGATTATCCATTTGACCTGAACTCTGTGCAAAATCCTACGGGAGAAAAAAAACAAAACAAAACAACAAAAACACCCGGCATCAGGTTTTCAGATCTTACATTTGAGGAATTAAAACATCATTTTTAAGTCTTCACAGTCACTCAAAAATACTAATACTTTATGAAATCTGTAAATTAACAAACTGATTTGTTTGCTACATATCATAACAGAATACTGCCAGCACTTAAATTCTATAATATATAGTGGATTTTTAAGCCTTTATTTGTACCTTTTTTGAAAAAACAAAACCAAAAACCAAAACAAACCTTTATTACACAACAAAAAACCCAAGGTTTTTACTATCTTCTTAGGAAATAGTTATTATCATGACTTTTAATTTAAGAGAACATTTACTATAGTTGTGTTTCTTTAAAACAAATGGCTCCAAACACACTCTTAGAAAATTCTTGAATTATCCCAATTTCATCGGCTGTGCTTCCCAGTGACCCGGGAGCCTGAGGTCCTGATCTCCTGAGAGCAAGTGAAGTTCTTCCACAGAGGTGATTAACTCTGGCCAGCGCTGCAGCCAGCTGTGTAACCAGCTGAGGTGCAGTTAAGTGAAGTGCCCAACGCAATGTGCGATCCCTGCTGCTATCGGACGGGATACTGCATCCTCCGGAGTCGGCAAGGACTTCGCTCGGAACAATGCAGGATTATGCAAGTTACCTGCCCCAGTACAGAGAGGGCTTTTAGGATCCTATCTTTTGTTCAAGTGAGTATTCACTGAGCAGAGGTGGTATTATTTGACATAAAAGATACAATTTAGCAAATCATGGATACTCCTAAATCTTTTCAATTATTTCAGCACATCTTGAAACAGAAGTTAGAAAAATAAAAAGGATGATGCAAACTTCAGATGATGGAAACAAATCTGTTGGTAGGGAGGTATAACGTGGGTCGTTGTAAAATCCAGCAATCATTTTCCTTTGATTTACACTGCACACATTTAACACACTGTATTTAAGTGTTATATTTGTACACACCACCAAACTTTTACGTAAACGGGACTTCTTTTTGCATTCCCTGGCACAGGAAGAATCTCATTTTCTAGTCACAGGGAAACATTTTACAGTCCTTCCCAAACCTTCCACTGAGGCAAATGAGAGATTTGCTTGACAAACAGCAGTGAGTTGAAATAAAAGTACAGAGGCAAGTCTCTTCCATGTGTGCGGGTATCTGAGAATTCCTTGGTTCCTTTCAGAATCGTTGTGTGTACATGTGTGCATGTGCAACATTCCGGATTAGATTTTAAAAAGGGTAAAATACTGAAGTACCAGTGAAGTCGGCAAAGACATGACACTTTACAGCACACAAGGATCTTCCATATTTTAATACAACACCTTTTTTAAAAGCCTGCAAGAATAGCATGTGAACTTGGCATCTGAGATATACCTTTAACTGGAAATCAAATTAATAACGTTGACCCTTGTAAATACACTTACACTTTGCTGTAGCTACTAGGGATTTAAATGCCATTCTCTCTCTTACAGCACAGAAATAAAGGTAAATAACCTTAATTATTCATACAGAGAACACTCTCCTCCACTCTCATTTTTTTTGGCTGAAAAAAAACTAACTAAACTTGCTGCATTTGCTTGTAATGCTTAAATTATTTTTTGCCACTGCAACTTCTGCACTGAAATCTGTAGTTTCACTATAAGAAAGTCAAAGTAAAAGATTAATTATAGCTTTGTATTTAACCAGAAGTTCATTACTATATGGCAAATTCTTTTAATGCTAAGTTCCAAACTTTTTTCCAACTGCTGTGCAATTATTTTAGTATTAAAAGGATAAAAAGTAGTTGCACTCAGAAGTCTGATGTTATGCTAAGACTTCTAGTAAATATTTAGTTCTTATGCCTTCTCTCCCAAATCCATGTAGCCTACCCTTGGACTAGCTGTAAAGCATTAAGAAAAAGAGTTTGACTAACATTTCTGTATCAACAACAGTAACTCTCAGGTGACAGATACAGAGTTACTAGACTCCTAAAAGCGTATTATTTTTTAATAGTACAGTGTTTATGAAACTGCATTTATTAATTGGAAACAGTCAATAAAACATATGGAAAACGAGGCATGCATGAAGTCTGATACATGAAGCACAGCATATAAATTTAGACAAAGGGAACAAAAATGCTGTAAATTCTTATTCAAAACAATATTCATAATGACCTCAGTGGCTTACTGTCAAAAATAAAGATTGCAAGATTAGACCGGTAACATATGTTCTGTGTATTTTCTGTATAAAATATACACTTCTGTTCAGTTCTCTCTGTAAATCTACTGTACACAGTATACAACTGTACATTTGTATGTAAACACATTAATATCCTGATTTCAGATATGCTATATGTGCAGCAGTTTTTAAAAAATATTTTAAGAATTGTCTTGTAATAGCAGGATCTACATCAAATCTTCCTAGCCTGTCGAATAACTTCAATGCAAACAGGATTCTGCATGTGATCGTGAGAACCCGAACTACTTGGTAACCTTTTAGTGTTATAAGATGCCTCAAGTACAGGCATAATCTGTGGTTGGAAAAGAGCTGCAGAGAATCTTAAAGTACTTCAATGCTGTTTACTTGTTTTACTTAAGTCAAATGATTTCCATATACACAGCAAATGCAAGAAAACCTGTTGCAGTTATCGTGCACACCGCTGTTACGTTACTGCAATAGCTACCTGAATGAATGTGGCGAGTAAAACAGAACTCATCTCCTGCTCCAGGATGATCTTGTTCTGAGGGTTATTGTAACACGCAGCTATTAGCGAAGGGAAGAGCACTTTGATTAAACGAGGATCACTGAAATACTGGAAAGGCAACTGGCATAGTTTTTGCAGCACCGTGGGGTGACGGCCAGATTGTACAATGACCTGAAAATACAAACGTAACAAAATTAAAACACGTGATCTTTCTGTTCTTCTCTTCCTGTTAACCACCAAGGGTGTTGAAGTCATGCTAAAAAAATGAGCATGGCTGAGGAGTAAATACTAAAAATAAAGCTTATAACATTTAGTCCAAATAACTTCTGGTTTAGCGTGCAAGTATTATTTTTATTGCAGAGGAACACGAAGAATGTAAGCCTGTGAAACTTCTTTTTCCTGTATCACCCAAAAAGACAGTAAGTAAACGAGAAGTGGATTAATCTGAAGATTACGACAAAACAGATCATGCAATAACCTTCATCCAAAAGACAAAGAATTATAGCACAGGGACTATTTTAAGTTAGAGCTACGAAAGAAAAAACCCCAACCCCCACCATTTAAACACAGTAAGTGTGCCTTTTGGCGGGGAAATCAAGAAATCACCAGGACTGTAAAAACCCTCCCGAAGCTCGATCATCCTTTACTAGAGTGCTCTCTGGCAATTAGAGAGGACTCTGTTTCATGGTAGATGTCTGCCACGCATTCTCAGGCACCAAAAAGAAAAGGTGATTGTAAGCTGCACAGCAAGGAGTTTCAGTAAGTAGAGACTCAGAAAGATCCTCCCATCTGTATTTCTTATCTGAGTTTCTATCAGTGCCATTGACTCTAAAAGGAGAATTGTTTAGATAAATGGGACTGTTGTCATGAAGCAGGCTAAGTTTACAACTGTGTACATCTGAAGAAATAAGGCAATGCTATTCCTGGTCTCCTGCAAAGGAACCTTTCCAGTTTACTTGATATTCTTATAAAGTCTTTGTGAGAAACTAAAAAATGCCAAAATCGGATCTGTTCCAAGTAACCTTGATTAGACAATTATAATATGAAAGAGCTGTTTGACCCAAAGTTGGCTTTTTGGCATAGGAGGAAGCTCCTATAAGGTTAGAACACTGTAAAACCTGGGGTCACGACTGTAAATTGTACTTGGAAAAACACAATTTTACAGGTACACACCCAGACAAGACTGCATTCAAATTAAAACCAGAAGGACAGAATGAAGCAGTTAGGACCACAGGAACATAAATTACAGGGATTTACAAGTTTTCAAAGCACTTTTAACAATACCTTCAGAGCACACTCTCAGTTGATAATGCAGTTCAGTTTAAAAACAAGATCAACAAAGTAATAGTAATAGTAATTTTTTTTTTTCAGTTCACCAGCCAAAAAGACATTGAAAACCTTTCAGAACACTGGTAGAAATGTCTTAATGCCCTTAAACACAGAAGGAATTTTTAAAAGACAGCCAAATATGTGACAATTAAGCATACATTCAGGCAATGTTTTGAGGAAAGTATCACTGAAGCATTTGGATGATTCTAAACTTAACTATCAGCTACCATCCTGTAAGCAACAGGGTGCCTTTCAAGTTTGTGATTACTATTTTAATTTTAAATTAACCAGAGTAGTTATTATATAAATCTATATTTTTCTGTGGTAAAATCTACAATCAGAGAAATACTTAACATAAATTTTAACTGTACTAAAATAACAATTGGTATTTCTGATCCAGGACAGAACGACAGAACTCTTGATTTCTTTTTAATGGCCACTGTACACTTGACGAACAGGCAGAGGAGAAGTTGTTTTGGGGACTTTTAATTTCACACTTCACTTCCTTTACCTGTTTGAAAAATGCCATGGATAATTAGCAAACTCTTGCCAAACTAACAGTACAGATACCCAAACAGCTTTCATGGAATTATCATTTCATTATCTTTTTCTTTTCAACATTTTTACTACTATGATGTTATCAACATTAAAGATAGGAAGGTATATATAAGGGCTGCTGATTGTTTTAATCTGGTATTTATCACATGTGGAATCAATTTAATGATTTCAGCTCACTGTACTAATGCAGCTACTAAACCTGAAACACTATATTATGTACGCTGAAAAAAAAAAAAATAGTGAGTCACCCCTTACTGGAAAAAAACCCAAACAAATAAACCTCTAGCAGAGCACATATTCCTTGTTTCACTGTAAACTGGTGGAGAAAATGAAGTCCAGCACTTGACTTAGCAGATGAACAATGAAGAAAACAAACGAAATCCTTGCCTATGACTTCTTTATGGTGGAAAAAGACTTCTCTTGACTTCCGCTCCTGCCTTTTTTTTTTAAAAAACAAAACAAAACAAAACAGTCACTGGGCTGAGTGATCCCAGGTTGTTTTGCAGGCCTGGAATACTCATCTTACACAATGCTCTAATACAAGATACAAACTCCTTACTGAAATCCAGCACAGAAAGCTTGCTTTTCCTCCTGCCACATACTGGAATCTAGACACATTTACTAGGATTAGCTTTTCTTGTTGCTCTCTCTCTAGCCTGAAAGTCAGATATGTCTGTCAAATGTAACAAGATCCTAATTAAATCACTGCATTTCTGTACAGCCAAGCATTTAAGCACCTGCTTAACTTCAGATATGTGCCTAGGTTCCATTAATATTTGCCTGTCCTTTTCTTTTTCTGAATTGAGACCTATCAAGTTAGTACAAGCTACATTTTTATTTTTTTTTATCCAGAGCGGGCAACTCACATTCATGTTTTCTAGATTTCTTTTAAAAATTTCACTTACTCTCAAAATTTGTAGATATTCATACAACTTTATTGGTTTTGCCTGTGCTTAGCTTAAATAAATTCCAAAAAAAAGATGCACCTGCTTAGCTCAGCTTATTTTTGGCCCAACACAGTAAACATTAGAATAACCCTCTGAAGACCCAAACTACACACAGGCAAGAGACACAGCAAATATGTTTCTGAAATGCTATTTCATGATGAATTACTGGAGTTTTAATTTGTGCTACCAGCCAAACTCAAGACTCTGACACACTTTAGAGGTGGAGCCCCTGTTACAGAGTGCGGTGATGTGGTTCAGGGTTAGCACACCAGAAAGCACTGCCCAATGGCACCGTCTGCTCTCAATGTAAGCACCTGCTGAAAATGAGAGGCTAGAGTATCTTAAATCCTTTACTGTACTGAATGGAAGCAACCTCTACACCGTATAAGCCGACGGTTAGCAAGGCTGCACAATATATGCCGCTCTTAATATCTGATTTTACTTTTAACCTTTGCTAGAAGTCACCTTTAAGAATACAATTTTCCCTGCTTGGTCTCTGTCTGAATTTCCAGCTTTCCTATACCATGTACGCTGCGCCTACTGAATCCACACTAGCTGACTCTCCAGCACAATGACTAACGTGATGACCTGTGGGAACTTTTTACTGAGCAACACCTTTCAAGGTTGCCTATCACTTATCTTCTGTCACTCCCACCAGTTTATAGCCTTCTGCAGGTCCCGCTAATTTGCTTAATCTCCAGCAGCCAGAGGGTCAGGCACTCTCTTCTGCCCTACCAGGCAATCCATGCTCCCGTGTGACTCTTTGGAAAGTGCACTCTGCACTTGCAATAACCATCCTGATCCACTGTATTGGCAGTTCTGAAGTTTATCACATAGGAAAGCATGACGCATGATTTCTACAGTCTCTAGATGGAATGCATTTCTTCAAGTGTACATGGGCCAATATTCACTGTATAGTATATTGCTTGGCCATTTGCTGCAATTCTTCTAGCTGTGAAAGTCTGAAGCAGTATAGAAGTCAGTCTTTCAAAACAGACTGCAATGACAAAAGCCAGTAATATGCCACACAGCACTTGAGCAATAATAAAGGACAATCAATCAAAAAAATTAAAAGCTCCTTGTGATATGGAACAGTAATAAAGTTGTTAAGGGAACTCATAATTTTACTGGGAGATAAGGCTTCCCCTGTCACTTAGGTAGGGCCTCTGGCTACAGACCCGACGTGAGTGCTGGAAGGATATTCCATCCCGGACTCGGCAGGATGTTCTTGTATTCCCACCAGGACAGCTCCAGCAGCCTTCCTCTCCTGCCACCCTGCAAAGGAGATCCTCCCAGGACTGAAGGCCTTCGCTAGGGAACTAGTAACCCATATGGACCCAAATAACTTGGGTACAATTTTCCTCTGGGTAGCAAAGGGAATGTTGCAGCTCGTTCAATTTTTCTGCGAAGCTTCAAGGGCCCAAAAATAACTTTCTGATGACCCTGCAGGAATGAGAATCATAGAAGTGCGACTCCTTTCCTTGCTTGCAAGGGCAGGGAGATAACCGCTGGCATACACAGGGGCAACTGCCGCATGAGAACTAGCAAGGGAAAGATGTTTTGGTGAACACCTCCTAATTCTACTTACATACTGTATATGCATATATTTTTCTTTCACTTAATCTTTCTCTATATTCCTTTTATCATGAATGAAAACTACAATTACTTTTAAATGCATATGTATGAATTTATGTCAAAGCATTTTTGTCAGTTATCTTCATATCCAGATCTTTTGAATGATACAGCAATGATACAGAATGTATCAGCAGTTAAATGTCAAATCAGAAGGAAAATCTTACCAAGTCAATGGTTAATTTTACAAGAAAATTAAAATAAGAATCCTCTAGTCTTTGAAACTGTATCTTCATAATCAGGTAACTGAATTTATAAGCATCTTGTAAGTAATAAACAGGATTTTCATTAAGAAAACTAAAATGTCAGCCAGAAAGTTGAAGAATGACTGTGTGTAAAATATTGAACAAATATTAGCCAAATTGAACTGATAATTCATATATTCATATCATTCATATATTCATATGTTCTAATTAGACATGTAATGTAGATGCATGCTACTAATGCTACAAGAACCAGTAGTTCAATCAAATTGCCTTGTGGAGATTTAATTTTTTTTTTTTTTTAACTATGGGAGTAGCATTTTTGGTGACAATCTAAATTTCTGTTTCCAAGTTGTAATTGCACACATTTTACATATGTAAAGCACTTAGAAAAAGAGAAGCTAACTGAATTTAAAACTCTGCCTGCAACCTTCCAGAGATTTAAAGAAGATTATGATCACAAATTGGTTTTCAATGGTTCTATGCAGGTATGTTAAATATT